GCTTCATGGTTGACACTACCATTAATTCAGCACCATTGTAAATTAATTGAATGAGTGGTTGTTAAATGAGGACCACCTGTTTTAGATTACAATCATACCACCTCCAGTGGCTGGTGACCAGTGCATACTTTGGAGAGTTCAGAGTAGAAGGTGAACAGGCCAAAATCATTGTTCTGCCTTTATTTCTGGGATCCAAAAGTAAGTTGTTTCAAGAGCAATTCTTTACTAAGAGACTTTAAATCCATTTTCTCCAGTCAACCCTTCTCTCCTATAAATGCTGGAGAATCATATGGATTCAAAACAATTTTCTCAAAATAGAATTACAAATGGTCTTGTATTAATATTAAGCAAAATAACCCCAAAAAATTGCATGGGTTTTACATGTTCATTTCACAGCCTTCATTCTACAATAAACAGTGCACACACACCACACACACACACACACACAAAAACTAGTGAGGAATAAGCAGATCTACCTCAGCAAGCTCTTTGTACTTGCCATCCATGGAGGTCCGTAGGTCAACCGGAAAATGCTTCAGGCAGTGAGAAGGCCCTGGGAGAGAACGTGCAGGCTGCAACTGCCGGGACCTGGGCCCTCCGTGAATCTCTGTGGATGCAAGGAAGACAGCAATCAGGCAGACAGGAAATGCTATTAGGTCTGAGAAGCAGGAGGAACGAGAGAGATATTAATAACATCCTCCTTCTTCTTAATTCATACATAAATTTGCAGTACTAGACCTCAATTTACTCAGATTCATCTGCAGATCTTGGAAGTCAGCAGATTTCCACTGAATTAATGTTATTGCAAGACAATTAACTTTTTCATAATACCACCCCAAGTCCAGTTGGCATATTTAAGAGAAAGTGACTTTAGTTTACAGAAGTTGTATCACATAAATCACACATACCCTTCTGTTCACCAATTCAATGTTCTCCTATGTTAGTCTTAACATAGGAAATCAGTTCAGAATTCTTAGAAATCAGTTCAGAATTGCTAACTATGTCAACCAGGGTGTGAGAGCATTCCATAATGTATTTTAGAAATGCCCAACATTAGTCCCTTCAGCTCCTCCTCCTTAAAAGAGAAACAGTTTTGTTATTTGTGAATAGTTTCCAAAAACTATTTCTAGCTTCATGTTTTGAAAAATATGCTGTTAGGACTCATGTCCCAGGTCTGATACTAAAGACAATTTTAGTATTCAAAATGGTTAGAGGTAACTGTGTCTTGTAACAAATAGATATTAAAACAAATATGAACATCTGTGTGAAGCATGCTTGGTTTTATTTTCATTTCTGGCTTCATATTGCTCAATGCAGGAGCCCATGCCAAGTTTGCTTGTTACAGATTGAGTCCACATTAACAGCAACAAATAGCATCCTAAAAAAAGCTGAATCCTTGATGTTCTCTGAGCTTGTTTGCTTGCAAATGTTTCATCACATGATTAAAGAATATCATCAGTGCTACTCAGTGTGGAGTTTGCTCCTTGTTTACATATAGTAGTTTGCCCTGCCAGTCTTGGTAGGGGTTGTCTGTTTGGATGTTTCTTGATTTGGGTATTGTTTTCTGCTTGTCTGGTTATCCCTGCTTATCTGGGCATATGCTTCTGGAGAGGATGTGTTCTGCCATTTTTGTTTCCTTCTTATATTTTTATTGACTATGTGTCTATTGATATGTCTGAATGCCAAACTTCCAGGAATTTCCTAGCAATTTGGATTTAGCTTGGTCTACGATGCTCAGTTTCCCAGTTGAAACTATGGTTGAGTCTGTCCATGTGTTGTATGATCAAGTTTTCATTGTATCTTCTGACTGTGAGTGAACTTTGCATGTTGTTTCTTCTTCTTGGGGTCTTTTGGTTTACTTAACATGTTTTGGGAGGTTTTTATTGGTTTGTGTTCTATGGTGATGCCATGCATTGTAATAATCTGTTGGTTGGTTTCCTAGATGTTTTTGATGTGCTGTAGTGTTGTCCTTTACACACCTGTGTTGGTGGTGCTTCAGTGAGTTAAGTAACCAGGCACTTTTTGATAAAGTTGGCAATGGTTTTTTTTCTAGCATTGTGGGTTGCTACAATGCATTTACAGTATATTCATTTTTTAAAAAGTTCTTACAGCTTCTCTTGTGAAAGATTGGGTTGTTACTTTGGTAAGGGAACACTTGGTTAGTGTGGGTTGTTTTCCAATAGATTTTTTTTCTAATTTGCTGTCTTTTTTTTTTCCTGATGATTAGGATATCTCAGAAGGATACCGTGTTATTAGTTTTTTTTTCTTCCCTTGTGAATTATATTTCTTTGAAGATACTGCTGATTGTTTTCATGTGTCTTCTTTAATCGTTCCATCTTTATCATGATGTTAAGTTTCGTCTACATAGTGGATTTATTCTTTTGGTTGTATGAATGGCAGTGCTATAGTTTCTAGATGCTGCATTACTCTCTGCTATAAGTCTAATTTGTTGATATATTTGTTCATCAAACTGAAAGCACTGAGGCAGAGGTTGATGAGAACCATGACTTTGGATACTTGAATCTTAGTGTATTGGCTAGGTTGGGTGTGTTGTGTAGTACTGTTGCTATGGATTCTTTCACTAGTTTTGGATGTATGGACATAGTGCTGTGACTTTGAATGAAACCATAATTTCATCTTCAATGTTTAAGTCTTTGATTTTTCTGGATACACTATATTTTCTGAAGTCATTTCATTTTTTGAAGGCACTTTGGTACAGAGCCACTGTATTTTCTAAAGGCACTTTAATTTTTTGAAGGCACATAAACAACCAGGTTCAGAAAGCACAAAGACTCCACGGTTCAACCCTGAGCTACTTATATTATCTTTTATTGGTCCTAAAAGAAGTGCTATCTGTATCCAGATCAGATCTGTTCATCTGTCCCTAAGGACCCTCATTAGAAAATGATTTCCAGAATCAAATGACAGCTGTCAATGAGTATAACTCTCCGTGAGCCTGTCAACATTTGAAATCCATCTTAATAATCAATTTCCCCTGTTGGCTGCAGCAGCACTCAGATGCCAGACAGATTTTTACATTTTATGTAAGCTGGAAATCCCCTCCCTGAGAAGAGCCTTCCGCATAGTTCTTCCACATGAAAGAACCTAATTTCTTTCACCATATGATCATGGTATTTCTTTCACTTCTCCCCAATGGCCATCGTTGTTTTGTTGCCATCCTACCCTAAATATAGGGCTACCAATACCAAGGCTGACTTCAAATGCAGAAAATAAACCATCAAATGGGTTTAGTGTTTATTGAAACACATACAGTACACCGAAGTGGCACCGAAGTGATACCAGTTTCCCTTGGGTATGTTTGGGAAATGCCAACACTGAAATAAAAAGATCTGTAGCCAAATATGACAAGGGACTTTTCATGGGATTTGGCCATCTAACTTTTAATGGGGAAAACCATTACTGCTTCTCTCAAAGTAGAAAGTTCTAATTTCTGCCATGCTTGGTTAAGACATTAACTTGGCTTCAGCAACTTTTAAATTGTCTGGACATCAACGCGCAGAATTACCCAGTCAAGTCATTTTGAGAGTCATAATCCACATAGCCTAAAGTTGCTTAGGATATGTCACTGGGTTAGAAGTAGAATTTCCTATAGGTCTTCTGGCAGTTGATAAGGACAAGAGAATGCTACTGAAGGTGCAAGCAAAAGAAACAGGCTTTTTTTTTTTTTAAGAAAAAAACTATTTTACATCGCTTTTGATATAGTACACAACTGCCTCTTTGCAGCCAGGGTAAAGCCTTCACAATCAAGATCAAAAGGCCAAAGTCCTACCTTGCTAGGTTTCACTAGTATAGAACTAACACGTCAGTTTGGAAATCAGTACTTTAGCTATCTTCCAGAGACACTGAAAGAACGAACATCCTTTATCCTGTGAAAAAATGAACCTACCCTCCTCCTTCCTACATAGACTGCAGAGGTCAACAGCCAAACCCTCAGGGGAAACCAAACAGCCCCTATCCTGGGCTTCAGGGACAACATCCCAAGAAAGAACTGCTCCCAAAGTCCATTTTGTTGGGCTTTCAAACCTTAGGCCATCTCCGTTATTTTAATGAGAGCTGCTGCCTGCAGATCAGACCTTTCCTCTCTTCTGCTGCAACAGAACAGCCACTCCTAGCTCGAGGCACAGGCAATGGGGTGGTTGGGTGGGGGTGCCGGAGAAATCTACAGAGAGATGGCCAAGAGTTCATTCCTTTCTCCAACTCCCTCTGCACAACGAGGGGCCCAGTAAATAGTAAAAAGATGCAGCCTTGACTGCATCTCCTTTTGTTGTAGCTTTTCATGCCACAGAATATACTGTATATGGATCTCAATGTTCCTAAAATAAAACAAACTACATGGGGGCCAAACGAAAGGGACTGAATGGAAGGCAGGGGGTCTCAGAACACTTAAGAAATTATGAGTCCCAACCACAACACTATGGGTCACACACCACAATATCACACCTATGTGGAGATGGGTATTTTTCTCTTTCAACAGCTTTCTTGGCCTCATTTTTTTTCCAAGCTACCAAAATATCTCAGCTGATATTATCAACAGTCCTTCAAAGGAAAATAACTCTCTCCAACTAGAGCTCAAAATTGAATGTATCAACCAAATTCTCAGCTCCCCAAATTCTCAGATTGGGTACCATTAAGGCGCCTGTTAGAAAGAAAGGTGGCACCTCTAAACAGGTTAGAGGTCTTAAATCTGTGATGCTAATACTGAGAAGGAACAAAAGCACAGAAATTATTGCCATCCACCAGCTGCAATCCAGGCTCCATTTAAAATTGATCTTTTTTCCTAGCAGGGTGAAGCAAACTGAAAATCCATGAGGTAAATGCTACTATTCAGTTCTGCGTTTAAAAAAATTGCTTGTAGTTGCATTGTTCTTTTTAAAATGCTCTGAACCAGGGGTCCCCAATCACTAGCGGGCTGTGGCCTGTTCAGAACCGGGTTGCAGGAGTGGTGGGTGAGTGTGCCTGCGTGCAATTGCAGGGCCACGTGGACAAGCGGCAGGCGAGCGTGTGTGCCTGTGAAGCTCTGTTTTGCAAGTGGCGGACGCACATGTCTGATGCTTGCACAGAGTTGCACAGGCGCGCTCACCCGCCACTTGCGTGGAACCACTCCTACCACCACCACCATTGGTCTGCAAAGCCAGAAAGGTTGGGGACCGCTGCTCTGAACAGTCCAGAACAAAGACTGCTCTCTATAGGTAAATCTAAGAGTGGGGGGCAGTAATTGCTGAAGAGAGGGAAAAAATGGACGATCCACAAAAAAACAGCAATTAGGACATTAACCAGATCATGCTGGGACAGTTTGAATATTCCAGCTCCGTTAACCTTGCAGGCAAAGCAGTTTTAAATACCTGTGGAACTGGATAACTTCTGCCAACTTCTTCACATGGCACTGAAACCTGCTGTCAAGAGGTAGGTAATTTAAAGCTTTGCAACTAATCATAGTAACTAACCATTTCCAAATAGTGATCCCAATGAGCAACATTTTATCCAGATTCTTTTTGTTTGTTTGTTTGTTTCTTTTTCTCTCTTTATTTTTTTCATTTCATTTCCCAATTTATATAGCTACCCATCCCACAAACCAGAAACTCTGGG